GTACTCCATAAGTACAGTTTTTTGGCGTCCGACGACTCAGATGGCTACCGTTCCCAAAAATAAAGCCTTGGACTTACAGGTTACTCATGCAAGTAATTCTTCCAGAGTAGTCAATTTGTAAAAATTGATGCAACATCAAGGTCAATTTTGTTCCAAATTGGGAATAATCCAAAACATTTTCTTACCATAGCTTTAATTCATAAATTGATCCTTCTGCTATGTGATACTACTTGATCAGGAAACTCCAATATTGACATCCACCTCAACAGAGAGCATCTTGACAAATATTTTAGCCAGGAAGCCATCAAGTTCTTCTAATTCAGGTATTGGTGAGTTTTTAGACAATGTGATAGTTATTGGTTATTTCTACAGGAAGAGATAGAAAACAAAATAGAACTTGCAGATGATTTGGCTATAAAAATTCTTCAAATATATAATTACTCTCTTTCAGCAATGAAAACAACATCAAATCACCTATCTGGAGGTATCCATTCTTTGCCACTTCACATTATTTGAAATTTGTTTTATGAAATGTAAGGGCAAAAAAGTCATTTAGTCTCTTTCAGACAGATTATCAACTTGGAAAAGAAAGAAACAAATCTTTATACAACATTTTATCCAAACAAACATCATGGAGATCTTTTAAACCTATTTGTGTTAATTATTTATTTAATTTTTGCATTTAGTTGATGAGTTACATGTGGCAATTGGGGAACTGAAAGGAAGGTTAACTGAAGTGATTAGTAATTGTGATGGTTTGTGTAAGAGAATTGCTGATGTGGGACCCAAACCACTTCGATCAACGGTCAAACCACTTTCAATAGTCATGAGTCATGACCTTTCCTCCTGTACATTAAATAGTGTGCCATCTCAACCTTAACAATTAACCTTATATTTGTTTCTTTGTATAGTTTCAATATATTTTTACATGGTAATTGCATTTACGTATCTTAATTATTCCATTTTACGGAGTGAAACATTTGATTATTAACGAATATGGATTATACTAATACGAGCTATCAATATGTTTGTCAAAACTAACCACACACAATATTTTTCTTTTTGTTTATCTATATCATGTGTGCTGATTAGGAAATTCGTATTTAAATGATATATTAGGTCATATTGAAATATAAAGAGAAGGATAAGGGACGTCCATAAATGAATGAGCAAATATTTGGTCATTACGTTACATTTATGAAAGATTATGGTATGTCTATTAATTTATGTACATTTTTGTTCTTCATACAACTTTGAGAATATTAAAGATTGTGTTAAACTAGACATATATATCGATAAGAATATAGAACATCGTATTGTGTGAAGGCCAACTGATGTAGGATGTCCACAGTACTCTTCATTCCATCAAAAATAAATTTCAACACTTAAGTTACACAGTTTCCCTTTAGGTTTAGTGAAAACCACCATTACAGGTCCTTGGATTGAAGAAGCTATGCATCGCCCTTTGCATTGGATAGACAGGTACATGTCAGGTACATTTTTTTAAGAGCTATAATATTTTCAATACTCATCATGAAATTTATTTTTATATTTTGTTTTCATAATATGATATGCAGCTCATAAGAGACCAACATCACATACTTTATTTTGGAATTGTACATGCTACGAATCAGCTTTTACTTATCACGAATATACGTGTCCAAGGTTTGCTGGAAAGGAATTTGCTTGGATGTGTACACAACACAACTCTCATAGAGAAGGAGGTTCACTAAATGCTTTCTAATGCGGTTGAACATGGGATTAATACTCTACATACTACGAAAATGGTAAGAAACACTCGGTCATTATTTCATTATTTGACTAATTTGAAAAACTACCCATTTCTTTAACCACTCTTGTAACTTCTTTGTTAACATATATTTTTTTTGTTTTTCTTATCACATATATGGTATTTTTGCATAATAAAGCAACATACTTTGATTTTGATGTTTGGTTTTCTGTTACTTGGTATCTTTCAACTGGAAAGGGAAATGTACTTTTTTTTGGGCAATATACTATAAAATTGTTTATTTTTCAGGTAATGTCGACTCTGTAAATCTTCCATATATATATATATATACATAGACCTGGAACAATATATTTTTATCAATGTTTTTATAAATTTATAGATTAGAGAGAAGCTTAGTGATGGATATTATAAAGAGGGATTTGTGAAAGAATTTAAATATAAAGAAATGAACAATGTTCTTACTCAATTGATAGGGAAGCAGGAAGAAGCAACATCGATGCTTATAATTTCCATTGAAGCTTTAATTTGAAGTCTATTCCGGTGCAGGGGTTAATCGATGCAAGGTTAGTACTTCATTAGTTGCAAGGCTTAATCAAATTTTCCCTTTCTAGTATAATTTTCAGAACTTCTTCATTCCTTACTTTGATTGGTTTCTGTTTTCTGCGCATCAGAAGCTATATAAATCAAACCGTATGTTTATGATTTTTGTAAGTTCATCGTGCATCCATATCCTTATTTTGCATTTTTGGTCATCTCGAAAAGAGGTGCTTTCACCATCGTGATAAGAAATCCCTCATTCATTTTTGAAGTTTATCACCTCTCTTGAACGCACTTCTTCTCCACCAGCTTCTACTTTTTTCTCCGTTCCTAAATTCCATCCTTTTGGGTTTGTTTCCGACTTATTTTCCATGATGCGATTGATAAAAGTGAAAACAAGCTGATAAAGATCAATTTGATGATTTGGAAAACTACATATCAGTTTCAGAACCTGTGGATAACAAATTTAAGTTGGTTCGACCGGAGTCACCTGTAATTAAATTTGTCACACATTCCCTTTTTTTTCAAAATAAAATGCTTCTAACATGTCTTCTTTGCATATCAATTTAAGAACCTAGAAAACTACAAAGCTTATTAAGAAGGAAGTGGGTCTAAGATATGGGAGCAAACAAGAGGCAAATTACATGTTTCTATAAATCCAACTAATGAAGCTCTTATGGAGTTTTGTCTATCACTTATGCTACAAACTTTGCCCAAATATTTACCTTTTAGGAACAAGTAAGTGATTTTAGTTGTGATTATAAGCCTGAATCTTTAGCTTACATATGCGTACTTTATGACCTAAATATTGCACATTACAGTTTTGGAATCAATAAGATTCATATTTATATTCCTAAATTAATGCTCAAATATTCAATTCAACAAATATTGTTTTCTATTTATAGCCAATTTTACCGAATTCAATCCAATAATGGCATTCAAATTATATTGTTTTCCACTTAAAGATTGATTTTTTAGGGTTATACAGAATGCATCAAGCAGGAAATAAGAGATTTTAGCCAGATGCACAAGCAGATAGAAAAGATGATGAATCTCAAGGGACCAACTATGTTATTTTCGTCTTATGGCTATTCGTTTATTTTGTTATGTATGTAATCCACTTGTGAAGTTATTATGGAGTTCTGTCTATCTCTATTGGATTTGCAACTAATGAATAAGACAACTACTTCATGCAAACCTTTTGTTCTGGATTCTGCTAACAAACCAATGGTGCAAAAACAAGCAAATAATAAAATGCATATGTAACATGTCTATCTCTGAACACACTCGCTACACATGCACAACGCAAATACTTCACAAACACATTATGTCCCTTGCGAAGTTACTCCATATAAAATTACAAATAAAATATAAAACACACGCAAAAGTTACATACATCACCACATAGACCGACACATGTTAAGTCCAAAAATAGTCATTTCGAAACTGATTGCCTTAATGTACCCACATGTTAATGGATAACTTCTATCTAATATATGCTTATTTCGGTCACGCTTTCTTCTTTACTTCATTTGGTCAGCCTTCATTCCCCTACGATTCTTATTCTTATTCAAATCGACCACACTGACAAGAAAATATAACACAACACACATAAACCACGACAGACCAAACTGTCAAAATGCACCACAAACGACCAAAACAATTGATCAGTTATCCCTTATTTTTCTATACTATCAACAAATCCATACCCCGCAAAACGGGGTTCCTCATCTAGTTACAATAATAGAAATTAAAACATTAAATAAATAAATTTTTAAAAATTAATTATCAATAACAAATAACATTAAACCATATATTATTTTTTATTTTCATTTATGAGTAACTCGAAGTAGAGGTCATTCAAACGATTGAGATTATGCAGTTTTAATAGATGTATATATTATTATATAATTCAAAATAATCAATATATTATATCAACTTAGTATACGAATTATTATATCAAATTTAATAACAATGTTATTGTTATATTTAAAAAAACATATATTTATAAAAATTTCAACTATATAATGTTTCTGCGAACAACAAAACTTAAAAGAATATATATATATATATATATATATATATATATATATATATATATACATCTAATCAAGGTTGTCAAGATCGGGATCCTACCTATGATCGTTTTTGGGTTTGCAAGATCGGGATCGTAAGATTGGGATCCAGATCCTAAGATCCCACAAAATAAAATATAATTTTAATTTATAAATTTTAATCATGAAAAATACTTCAAACATTCAATTTTTCGTTCAAAAGTTATAAAAACTTCAAAATATTAGTCGTAAGCCACAATACAAAATGATAAATGGTAAATTGGTAAAGAGTAAAAGACATAAAGTGGTAAAAAAAATCATTTGCAAAAAAAAAATAAAAAACAAAAAATAAAAAAATAAAAAATAAAAAAATCAAGGAAAGATAGGATCGGATCGGATCTCGATCCTACGATCCTACCTGCGATCCTACCCCAAATACGATCATTTTACGATCCGGATCGTTTTTCATACCATACCATGCATCTAATAACAATAGCAATAAAATAAAAATAAAACAAAAATTGAAAAAGACAATAGAACCTATAAACACGTGCGAGGGTGCCGTCGTAAATTCACATCTATCCATTGTCGTGTCATCACAGTATCCCCAGCCTCCCTCTTTCTCCGCCTATATATACCCCATATAGCGCTTTTGAGCTAACGCATCTCGTCCAATCAAAACCAGAAAAACAAACATAAACACGCACTTATCTGCATCACCATCAACCGTGTAAGTTTTCAGTCAAAGTTCGTAATTTCCTCTTTTGTCCGGATAATCTCTTAGCATATTATATATATTTGTTTAATTCTGTGTATATATAAAAATCATTTCATATCTGATAATAACCACTGTTGATCAATCTTTTTCCGAGTTCAACAGATTTAGGGTTACTTATAGATCTAATAAGTAAAATTACCAGATTTCGATTGTATTTTTCTAGAAAACCGTTTTTCATTTCAAAAGATATATACAATAGATTAACAATTCCTTCAATAGCGGAAATGGGTAGCTGCAGTTGTATTGGACTATCCTCATCGAAACCATTTTGCCGTAGGATCTTAATTACTTATAAAAGATCTTCGCTTTTTGGTTTTCAAATCCCTATTTCTAATCACTCAGCTGTGATTAATTTGCCGAAATCTCGATTTAAGTTACTTGGTTCAAGGGGAAGTCATACTTGTAAGAGTAAAGTTTTAGGGTTTAGAGAAGGTGCGATTGATCCAAACTTAGGTTTTAGAGATGTAAGCGATTCAAATCAGAAGGGTTTTTGTGGTTCTGCTTTGAATTGGGGAAGACAACCTAGGGTTTTATTGAACGGTTGTCTTGTGGGAGGAATCGATAGGAGATTCAGCAGGCTTGTATCTAAAGTAGCCTCGGATTATAGAAATCATTCAACGTCAATTGAATCCCATGTTAATGACACAAGCTGGGAAAGGATTTACATTAAAGGGAGATTGAATGTGAAGCCTCTAGTGATTGAGGAGGTGGAAAGAAAAGATGAAAATGAAGAGAAAGTGTTGGATTATAGTCATTCAAGTGTAAATAAAGAATCTCTTGATACTGTTTTAGGGGATGAGAGAAAGGAATCTGAGATTGAGAAAGAAGCATGGAAGTTGCTTAGAGGGTCAATTGTGAATTACTGTGGAACTCCAATTGGAACTGTTGCAGCAACTGATCCAGCTGATAAACTGCCATTGAACTATGATCAAGTTTTCATTCGTGATTTTGTTCCTTCTGCTCTTGCATTCTTGCTCAATGGAGAAGGAGAGATTGTCAAGAACTTTCTGCTCCATACTCTCCAATTGCAGGTATTCACTGATTTTGTTTCGTACTCTTTAAAAACACACATAATTTCAAAACATGATTTTATAGTTGAAGCATCTTTGAGTTTTTTTGTGTTCTTTTGTTGCCAGAGTTGGGAAAAGACAGTTGACTGCCATAGCCCTGGGCAAGGGTTGATGCCAGCAAGCTTTAAAGTTAGAAGTGTGGCTCTTGATGGAAAATCTGGTGAATTTGAGGATGTTTTGGATCCTGATTTTGGTGAATCAGCAATTGGTCGAGTTGCACCTGTTGATTCTGGTAAATTCATACTTATTACATTATAAGATCATTTTCTTTTACCAATATATGCAACAAAATGGATTTCTTACTTATTTAAGCAACAATGTTTCTGATTTAACCAGTTCATACAATAAAGACATAAACTTGACTTCTTATCAGTTTATGTAGCTTAAATTAGTGAATTCATATTTCATAATAACAACTTGAAACATGAATCTTGCATAAATCATGTCACAAACCCTTTTGTTGCAAAAATTAGTAAAACCAGAGATATGTAATTGCATTAATATGCATTTAACATTCTATGTATGTATAAGTTGGTGATAGAGACGTGGTTGCATACTCCATGTTAAAAACCATTTTGTTGCATACATTGCTAAAAAAGTGAAACATGGTTTCATTAAGACGCATTAATCCTTATATTTATACATAAATTGGCGAATTTATACCAACAACGTGAAACATGGTTGTAAAATTTGTGTTGAAAATCATTATGTTTCATATTGGTAAAAAAGGTTAAACGTGGTTGCATCATTGTACATATAACTCTTTGATTTATGCATAAATTGGTGAATTCGTTGCAACAACTTAAAACATGAATTTGCATATTAAAAACCATTTTATTGCATAATATTGGTAAAGAAAACTGAAATGTGGTTGCATTTATATGCATCTAATCCTTTTGTTTATGCATAAACTGGTGAAATTATAGTAACAACGATAAACGTGATTGCAAAATTTGTGTTGAAAACCATTATCTTGCATATATTCATAAAAAGGTGAAATGTGATTTGCATAATTCATGGTTTCATATAATGGTAAACACATGGTTACATAAACATGCAATTAATGTAACAACTTGAAACATGATTGCATTTTACGCATAAAAACTTCATTGTTTCATATAATGGTAAAAATGTGAAACATGGTTGATAAAAATGCATGTAAACTATTTGTTAATTTCTTTTTTGTTACAACATTGTAATTGAGTTTTGACATGTTTATCAGGTTTGTGGTGGATTATTTTATTAAGAGCTTATGGAAAGATCACAGGTGACTACAGTTTGCAAGAGAGAGTGGATGTTCAAACAGGAATAAGATTAATACTCAAATTGTGTTTAGCTGATGGATTTGACATGTTTCCTACTCTTCTAGTAACTGATGGCTCTTGCATGATAGATAGAAGAATGGGTATTCATGGTCATCCTCTTGAAATTCAAGTAAGTTTTCTTTTCATATTAATTAATTCAATTTCAATGATTAAATACAAAACAATTTTCATTGCTATAAATGGGTGACTTTTCAGGCACTATTCTACTCAGCACTACGCTGCTCAAGAGAAATGGTGAAAGTCAACGAGTCAACACAAGGGTCTAGCAGCTGCCATTAACAACCGCTTAAGTGCACTCTCATTCCACATACGTGAATATTATTGGGTTGACATGAAAAAGATAAATGAAATTTATCGTTATAAAACGGAGGAATATTCCACAGATGCAATTAATAAATTTAATATTTATCCTGAACAAATTCCATCTTGGTTGGTGGATTGGATTCCTGAATCCGGGGGGTATCTTATTGGAAATTTGCAACCTGCTCATATGGACTTTAGATTCTTCACACTTGGAAATTTGTGGGCCATAGTTTCCTCTTTGGGTACCCCGAAACAAAATGATGGGATTTTGAATTTGATTGAAGAGAAATGGGATGATCTTGTTGCAAATATGCCTCTCAAGATTTGTTACCCTGCTCTTGATTATGATGAATGGCGAATAATTACTGGAAGTGATCCTAAAAACACGTGAGCTTTTTTCATTTTTCATTTTTCATTTATTTGTATATTATAACATATCCTACTATTACTTTAGGGTTAATCTCAAAAAAGACCTTATATTTTGTGTTTTTTTCCGGATTGAACCTCAATTTTTTTTTTGCCTAAAAAAGACCTTGTATTTTTTCATTTTTTCCGAGTTGATCTTTTTAATAATTTTTTTTCTAAAAAAAGTTGTAAAATGTGAGGGTTTTTTTCAAAAAGAACTAAAAAAGTGGAGGGTTTATTTGGAAAGATTTAGAAGGTTGAGGGTTTTTTTCGGAAAAAATTACAAAGTTGTGGGCTTTTTTTGGAAAAAATGAAAGTTACAATGTCTTTTTTAGGCAAAAAATAATGAGGTTTAATCCGGAAAAACACAAAATATAAGGTCTTTTTTGAGATTAACCCCCAAAAAAAGTTGTAAAATGTGAGGGTTTTTGCGGAAAAACTAAAATAGTTGAGGGTTTTTCAGAAATAGTTTGAAGGTTGAGGGTTTTTTTTTGGAAAAAAAGACAAAGTTAAGGGCTTTTTCGAAAAAATGAAAAAATATAAGGTTTTTCTCAGGAAAAAATAAATAAAACCTGAGGTTTAATCCGGAAGAAACATAAAATGTAAGGTCTTTTTCGAGATTATACATTATTTGAAAATTTTACAATGCTATAATGGGGGCACAATTGTCATTTGGCATGTGTTTATCGTCTGTGGTAGTTAGAGTGACCAAAACCGCAACAAAATGAAACCACAGGGACCGGTTTTGAAACAAAAATCAAAGTTGCGATGAACTTGCTATTTTCACCAAACCCTACTCATCTCTTTTTTGTCAAAAAAGACATAAATGCCCTTCCCACCGGGTCCAATCTCAGTACTTTTTTCATTCCAACTTAAGTGTTTTTCTTTTCAGTCCTTGGTCATACCACAATGGAGGATCATGGCCTACTCTTCTTTGGCAGGTAATCATTCTTGCGAAAAGACATAAATACCCTCAACATCAACAACATCATTTAATCTCAATCTCATTTCCTTGTTATTTTCAGTTCACGCTTGCATGCATAAAGATGAAGAGGCCAGAACTTGCAAGAAAAGCAATTGCTTTAGCCGAAAAGCGGCTTTCATTGGATCAATGGCCAGAATATTATGACACAAGATATGGAAGATTTATTGGGAAACAATCTCGGTTGTATCAAACATGGACAATTGCTGGATTCTTGACATCAAAGAAGCTATTGGAGAATAGTGAAATGGCTTCAAAGTTGTTTTGGGAAGAAGATTATCAACTTCTTGAGAATTGTGTTTGTGGGCTTGGAAAACATGGGAGAAAGAAATGCTCAAGATCTGCAGCTAGATCCCATTTTGTGCTTTAGAAAATAGAAATGAGATCTTATTATTTGGTTCGTATTTTCTTCATGGCATGACAAAATAAAGAAAAACTTATTGGGAGCTTTGTGATTCGTAGTCATGAAACCAAACATTGTAACTTATAAAAGTTCGCTTGTTGGTGATTTGTGATCCTTGGCCTTTTAGTATACTATTTTTTTTTCACTCACTAAAGGCGGCGCCTATTTTTGGAAGAAATTTCTACTATGATCGGTGTGATTTCTCATTACTTACATGACTCAAAAGTACTTTAAGAAATAACATTTTGCTAGATATCAACATAGGTTGGTTTGGGAAACCGAACCCGAACCCAAACCCAAACCCAAACCCAAACCCATTTGTTGGTTTCCTCAGTAATTGGTTTTTTCATGGTCGGCTTTCGGGCTTAATCCCAAACCCAATCCTAATCTAACTCTGACAAATGATAAATCATTATATAGAGGCAAGGATGGCGGATGTTACTTTATCTTGGGCGATGTGTGATGTCTACACCGCATATAAGAGATGAAAAGAGAGGATGCTAGGGGTATTAATCGGGTCAACTTGATCAGGTTTTAAAAAAAATAAAAGTAACGGGTTAGTCGGGTGCGGGTCAATCCAATGGCAGAGCTTTAATATTTTATTTGGGGGTCGGAAATATAATATGTATAAAAATTAGTAAACAAGGGGGGTCACATCCAAAATTTTATATTTTTGGGCCTAATATGTATAAAAATTAATGTATAGGGGCTACTTCTAACAAAAAAATCAGGAGGGGCCACAGCCCCTCGCCCTTATAAAGCTCCGCCCCTGGGTCTATCGGGTTTTGGGTTAATAAGGTCAGGTAAATTGGGTTATGTTATGTTTAAATGTTACAAATGATATCATATTACAAGATATTAACGTGTAATGAATTGTGGGTTTATTTGGGTTCTATACACCTCATACATGCACATTAAGTTGGAAGGGTTATGACTTACGTCCATATCCCATATTATACATTTGTGTATTTATTATTATTATTATTTTTATTTCTCTGTGAACATGACTACAATAATATCACCATTCAGATTTAACTTCAAGTTGTATTAAGTTTGCTTGTCTTATACTTCCATAAAAAGGTATAGATTTACTTTTTTTATTGAACAATCGTATATATAATTTTCATGTAAATTAATTATCATACTTTATAAATAAATATATATTACGTTAGTTACATTGAAATTGAAATTGAAATTTTGGAGTATTTTCAATAGCTATATTATAAGAAACTAAAGTATAATTATCAAACTAAAAATATTAATCGAGTTAATCGGGTTATATATATATATATATATATATATATATATATATATATATATATATATATATATATATATATATATATATATATATATATATATATAGGCTTAGATTATTGTATTCTAACTAATTATTGTGTGGATATAAGAATGAATCTGGACCAATCATTTTACTTATTGGAAGAAAGTGATTAATACATATTATTAATTTAAAAATAATTAAAAAAATACAATCTAATTTCATTCTAAGGGTATTTTAGTCAATTAACATAAATTTAAAAAAGGAAAATTCCAGATTTTAAGGAATAATTAATTCTCTAAACTTTAAATTTTTGATTTTTGGATAATAAATATATTAATTCGGATATTCTAAAAGAATGTGTTTATGATTATCTTGAAAAAAAATATTAAATTCTGACAGAATAATATAAACATATATTATCAAGATTAATAAATTTTAATGAATACAAATTTTATATGAAAAAAATTTTAATATCTTAAAATCAATAATTACATTCATTTTTAACAAATACAACTATGAACATATATAAATGACATTCATTCTGAAAGAATATATATAATAATGGTTAACAATTATATTTATTCTTTAAGAATAAAACACTGAAATCTAAGTAAAACACTAATACATTCTAATAGAATATATGTTGCTAATCACTCTGACAGAAAAAATGCTAATCCATTCTGAACGAATATTGTTGCCTTAGTTTCCATTCTTCACCGGGCTTCCAACTGAGTTTCCATTCTTCACCAAACTTCTTTTTCTTTACTTGATGTTATTTCTTTCAAATTTTATAGCTTCATAAGAATTTATAACCTTGGTTCAGCAATGTCTGTACACTCTAAGAACAATTTGAAACAAGGCTAAAATTCTGCATAATTTGTACCTTGGAAAACATGATATCTTCATCTTAATCAAACATAACCACCAAATAGAAAAACTCCTTGTGTAGACACATAAAGATAGTTTGCCAATATTTTAGTTAATTGATCACTAAGTAATAACATTATAGTACAAACATAATAACATTGATAGAGATAATTTGATGTACTCAGTAATTACATCAAAAAGTTGGTAGGCATGATGAATTCTCGTATATTACAACACTTCAACTCAAAATATAGTTTAGTTCAACTTCTGTTTAAAAAGACTACGAAAATTCCAAAAAAAGGAATTTCAACTTCCTTGGACTTGGATCCGCTTTTGGTTGAATTTCATCTGGAAATACATAACTTTGGACCTTTTAGTCATTTCACATTTCAATATTTTGTGGTTACTTTTTTATGGTATGAAAGGAAAACATAAACAAATGAGATAACAAGAAATTGACTCCACAGTAACTACTACACATTTACATAAATGAAAATCCTACCAGTAAAAATCATAAACAACAATAGTTTGAAGTTTGAACTCACCAGAATCAACCTCATTTTTATCCGCCGATTTAACCCACGAGACACATTCAAATTGATAGAATTATCAACAATCTCAACTGGGTCATCGAGAATCTTCCTCTTAACGTTATTAAAATTTTGTAATAGAGGCAAGAAAACATTGCCAACAGCGGAGGAACACACCTCCAAACAAATGCATTTATATCTTTGTTTAAAAGATGAGATAATGTCATTATTAGCCAAACAAACTATTCGTATAAGTTTAAAATAGTCCTTAGTTTTGTTTTTTTTGTTTGTAGTGTAAGTGTGCAAACTTTCAAACTTTAAGTAAGGCCATTTTCTTGAAGTTGAAAGAGTCACCCGATTATCCAACATATTGTTGGGTTCTATTTAAAAATAGTCTAAAATAAACTACACGTTTAGCAATGGAAGTATTAAAACAAATTATTATAAAACCATTTATACATACTAATGATCATTTTGCAAAATATGGAAAAACTAAATCAACCACAGAAAACAAAAGAACCACAACCTTTAAAGACTTTGATTCTAATGGGAGATTGGAAGTTGATGAAGTGAGGCAAAAACTCCAAAGTAGAAGCTCTCTATATGTATCCATCAAGCAAGGATAAATCACCAAAAGATGCTAGTCTTCACTTGTATTAAACACTTCTTAAGCCTTAAAAACTTATATCAACTAAGTGTTGGATATATATGTGACAACCGTCAAAATTCGAGTCGGTTCTAGATTTGAATAAACTTAGTTGCACGTATAGGCACGACACATACTAGACTTAGTAACTAGAAGTTAAGATATAACTTATTAGAAACTTGGAAACAATTAGAAACAATGGATAATGTGCTTAGATTTCACATTGATATGTGAATTCTACTACTACTTAACTGTAGTGACTATCTATATTTGGGTCACTCTTTGACTCGAACACCTTTTCATGAATCATATACACACATCATGCACTTGACCTAGTAGTAGAAATTAGGTCAAAGTCTCATAGAAACTTAAGTCAAAGTCAAAGACTAGGACTAGTATACTTGATTCCTCAATTTCGCTTAATCTCGGAATCACTACATAGAGTGCCAATAAATCGGTAAAAAATAAATTAGAAGCATTATTCTAACTTGAATAAGAGTTAGAAAACCCAAAAATAATTTGAAGTCTCAAAAATTTAATTAATTTTGATATCCAAAGACTTACATACTCGCAAAAACCCTAAATGCCCTAAAAACTCACATTTATAAACTTAACCTTAAAAAATTCTATAAAAATAATTATGAAGCTTCTAATATATCTTATAATAATTAAAATTATGAAAATGCATTTAAGGAAAATAAAATTTAACTCATTAACATTACCCTTAATTTATAAATCAAAAATCAACACTTTTATGCATAAAAACTAAGTTAAGGTGCACATTTTATGAAAGGTGTGATATTTTATATAATATTTGAATTTTATAAAAATGGAAAGGGGGAAACCCTATCTTATTCCCCTAAAATCGGACACCCTCTCTCCTCCTTCAAATTCATCTTTCCAACACACTAAATGACTTATCTCTCTCACACTCCATCTTCTCTCTCACTCTACCTCTCATTCTCTCTCACACTCTTTATCACCACCACTCCATTTCTCTCTCATCTCTCTACACTCACGAAAATTTCCAGAAAACAACCCAATAACACTCCTCAAACTCGAAATCTTCATCATATTGTAGTGTTCTGAAGGTAAAATCGATTTCCCTTCATTTTCCTTCAAAGTTTTGTTATTTTTCACACACTTTCTTTTTCTTCTACTCCATTCTATTGTAAAATCATGAACACTTGCACCTACTCACTGTTTTGATGATGATGGTGGTAGGATTTCATCCAAAAACAACATGCATGTTGTAAATGGTGAAATCCAAGGACCTAAACCTAAGTCAAGATCATGAAAATGCACTTTTCTACAAGTTTTGGTGTAAAATCACCCACATGCACTCTAAGTTTTCTTTCAAAAACGATTTTGAACATTCAAACTCATGAATGGTATTCAAACAAACATGCATGTGATCACTTCAAGCTTAAATGCTAGATCATCAAAGTATGTTGTTAAAAGCTTTCAAATATGTTTTCATGAAGGATTTATTTCCAATAATATCTAAAACTCCTTTTCTGACCAAATCCGATTTTTCCCAGATTCCCATCAACAAAATAAGATGTTCAACAAATTTTCAGAAACTAATTCATTTTCTCGAATTATTATAATTATTGAAATAAAATAGGGCAATAAATCATATAAAATACTTTCTGAGGTCTATAAATCCTAGGTAAATTCGTGGATGACCCCTATGCTAAATAATGACCCCACATTAAATTTCATCGGTTTTTGTTACTGTTTAATATGGTTTTGAATTTTCTTTTTGTTTAG